TGATTAACTATTTCATAATTTAGAAGTTAACATCTATTTCATAACAAAACACATGTTTACTTCTAAATCCTCTGTCACATGTATATAAAACTGCATATAAAAATATTTTTGTAGAAAATAAGGCGTACAAAAAGGAGCTCTTACTATTTTATTTGAATTTAAATCTACTTCAAAACTTTCGTCGAATTTCAAATAATAATTTTTACAGATAACATTTCTGGTATTCATTTTTGTTATTTGTTCTGAGGGACAGCACTGGCCATAAATATGGTTTCCAAGAACATTCGTGATGCGTGCAACACATTAAGAAAGATACAGTTGTATATCCATTGATAACAGGACAAATTTGTCTCAACTTTCATTCAAGTTTTAATGGAAAGTACTCAAAGAATAAAATCGGAGGATCGCATAACCCTTTCTTATTACCAACCTCTCGGATGTACTTTCAAACGCCTTCATGCAGCAAAAATACTAAACAAAAATGGGTAATAGAAATCTATAAAAATATCCAGTGTTAAAAATCTTCAGAATCATGGTCCAATTTTCTATATACTAAGTCGGAGATCTGCCGAATAGAATTTTAGATATGACTTACAGTAATGAGAAGAGATTCTGTACAGACTTGTGCAGAGATACTTAAAGACTCATAACCCCTGATCCTCTGACGAATCGAATAAGAGGACGCATGGAATTCGCTACGTGGTGTAATGATTGGCACATTCGGGAGGTCCCGGCAAGGGCATTACACATTTTTCACATCTCCCGCTTCTTCCACAACCCACCCCCAAAAATTCCTAATGTCTCCTCTACAGTGGCGCTTGAATTAATAGGTGGTGGATGATGATTCTTCACCACCAGGATTTAACGATTGGATCCCCTAACCCCAGTTGCCCTTTAAAAGGGGAAATTTATAAGGTTACAAATGAGAAGAATACGATCCGATCCACCTGGTCTAAAAATTTCCTTATTTTGTGCATGCCTGCGTGGTGTAATGGTTAGAACACTCGGCGCGTATTCGAGAGGTCCAGGTTCGAGTACCGGCGAAGAAATCCTAACGTCCCTATTAGAATCAACTAATAAAGTTCTACTAAAAAATAATCGGACGCAGCCCGATGAAAATCGGGCCATAACTCTAAAGAATTTAAACAATTTTTCTTTGATCTTATTTGAACAGATGTGAATTTCATCTAATAAAAAATTTTAATATCTTTTTTACTTTAAAAATATTTAAACAAAGATAAATGCATTTTAAATATTAGTTTTGTTTAACTAGAATTAAAAAAACATTTTTTCCTATTAAGTTTACATATACAGTAATTAAAAACATTTATTTCAGGGAATAAATTTTTATAATTAACAGCATAAATTTATTCTTTTAATTAATTTTATGACTTAGATTGATTTTACGTTTTTAGTGTAAGTTCATAAAAATATTTAATACTTCTAATTAGTCATCTCATGAATTAAATGCATTTTTATTTAAATCAATTGAATTAAAAAGTAAGAAAAATATTGAGATATGTATTTATTGCTTTAAAATCGCTTAGTTTTTTTACTTATTAACAGACTGAATTTGAATGTAAATATCTTACGCTTAACTGGCAACCTGTTGGGCATGAATGATAAAAGTATTTTATTTCAGGTAATGGCAACAAATTGCTTTTAAATATCCAAGACTGTTGATTAAAACTGAAAGGTACGTGGGGATTGGACAAAAATATGGAACTTCATGCTTGAACTGAAATGTTTATTCTAGCAAAAGCTATTGGTGGCGCTGATGTGTTTTCTCACTACACCACCTGTACAACATTAATATATTACAAGTGTTACTTGTTTTCGAGACAGAGTTCTGTGCAGTTGTGAATGCATCATGTTGAAGCTTAATGAATTCGAAAGTGGGCAAATTGTTGGAGTTTGTATCGTGGGTGCTTCCATAACTAAGGTAGCTGAAGTGTTTGGTGTTTCAAGAGGCACAGTACCTAAGATTTTTAACTCATACAGGAATACCAGAAAAACCGCATTCGCTAAACTACAGTGCAGACGGAAAAGTGTGTTGAGTGATCACGACAGACGATCATTCAAGAGGATGAGGACTATAGCAGCAAAAGTGACTAGTCATAAAACCTGGACTGTGGAGCAAAGGAAGACAGTCGTTTGGTTGGACGAGTCTCGCTTCACACTGTTTCCAACTTCTGGGCCAGTTTACATCTGACCAACGTTCCCCCAAGCATAAGACAGAAACCGTTTGCTGCCAAGAGTGAAATATGACAGGGGTTCGGTAGTGCTTTGAGCAGCCACATTGTAATTAGGATTTAAAAAGAGACCCTATTTAACCCTGTATTGTGGTATTCTATGGGACCCATTACTATTATGCAAGGTCACGTTATTGCCAAAGATTATATGATCATTTTGGCTGATTGCATACATCCCATGGTATAAATTTTGTTCCCCAATGGTAATATCGTGTTCCAAGATGATAGAGCTCCTGTTCATTCAGCTTGTATCGGCAAGAACTGTTTTTCTAAGCACGAGGGTGAACTTTCACATCAACCATGGCCACCACATATCAATATTGAGCCTTTGTGGGCTATTTTGGAGAGAAATCTGCCCGTGAACGCAATCCACTGCAATTATCGTTAACTGAACTTGCCAGTGTTTTGCCCAAAGAATGGTACAAGATTCCTTGGAAAATCATACAGGACCTCTATCCATCCTGAGAAAACTACAAGTTGTTTTAAGTTTCAGTGGTTTACCTACACCGTATTAGTAACAGCAATGTGCTTTTTTATTTTGGTGTTACATGTTCCGTCTTCTTTCGTGACTCATTTTTCGCAAGGAGATTAGAATAGATATTCTAGCCTCCTTGTTCTTTTCCCTGTATTGGGAGATAAAGTTTTGAAAAATGTCAGGCGCGGACTCGCAGACGAGAGATTGACAGCCATGCGCCTTTCGAATATTACTTTTTTCCCTATTCTTTCTTCTTACTTTTATTTTTCCTGCAATCTTAGATTTTTTATCCGGACACTTACTGTTTTTACCATATTTATTAAATTTTCTTGATAATTTTTTTTACACTTTTTTTTTTTTAATCTTGGGAGAATTTATTTCTAATGGAAGAATTTCAAATTATTTTCTCATTTGCAATGAATGATTAAAAGCGACTTTTTTTATATATTGATTGTTACTTCTGGCTCCTATTGCACATAAAATTTAACACATGTCCTATCACTTTCTGTTTTACAATTTTTTTTTTCTTTTTCGCTTTTTCATTTTGCAAGAGCAATATCTATTCCCAGAAATTTAACTTTCCCTTTCGCTTTTTAGTTTTACAAACGGAAGTTTTTATTTTTCATTGTATGTCCTTGCGTTCAAAAATAAACTCTTCCAAGTTTTTTTCTTTATACATTTTTTTATTTTATGTTTATCTTTTCTTTTTCCTTGTTTTATATATTTATCAATATTACATTTCCCTTTCTAAAAAATTAAACTTGCACATAATTCCTTGTCTACAAAATTTTAAGTTCAAATTTTATGTGCATATTACTTCTCTAGACATTTTTATAGATAATATTTTCCGTAAATTAAAATCAATTTAAACCAATACATATAATATTTGTTTTATGCTATATATTGTTGAAATACTCAGCGGAAATAATATTACATTTCTTTCTTTTATTGTTACTAATCTAATTTCTTTTATTGTCTAAGTAATTGTAATTGTTTTATTGTATTCAAAGCTTCCTTTCCAATCAATACATCTATACAGATTGTTCTACTTTTTTTTAACACTACCGCAAACATCGCGGATTCTCTTTTACAACATTTTATAACACTATGAACATCATGGATGTTCTTTTACACATCTTACTATTATCCAAAGATTTCATAAAACTAAGTCTATGAAAAACATCACGAATTCTATTTTATTTTTATTCAAATGATTCATCAAACTATGAATGTATTTTATACATATATAAATATATATTTTCTATTTAAACTATCTATGAATATGGCCGTCTGTGACACTACAGGTGATACACAAGCATTCCTAATGTTTGGAAAAGAACTGAGGACTGTCGACGACATTGTTCACGATTTCAAAGCTGTGGTCAAAAATCCCCTTATCTTGTACGATTCGCAACTATTACAAAGGACATAAGAGAGCATATCGAAATAAAGCAAGATCAACGTAAAAAGCAATATGATAAAGTATGGATCAATTTACATACCGTTAGTAATGCAAAAAAACAAAATGACTTCAAAGTTTATACCAAACGGTCCATACTTGGTAATGACACAGAAATCACCTACTGCCTATGTCATTTCAAGCCTTCATAAACCATCAGAACCGTTAGGGATGTACCATACGTCTGCACAACACCTTTCAAAGACTCGTCCACTTCTACCATTCTTCCACTCAGGAAGAGAGGTAGACCACCAAAAGTTACTTTGCATTCCCAAAATAATCAAGAACTTGTGGTTCCAGACAGTGCTTCAAAGGTCCTCTTGCCCAGAAAAAAAAAAAAAAAAAAAAAAGGCCAGAGACAATTTTACAAGAGGCTCCCAAATCCTCCAGTTCTGTCTCCTTGCCGGGACGTCGGCGGAACCAGAGGAGGAGTTTGTAACCAATCCTTTAACATAAACTGTTGGAGTAAGTGTGACAACAAGGGTGCCTCTGGTGAGAAGCCAGAGAAGGATTTTAGTAAAAGCCAAGTGTCTAACCTGATAGATTGTATCAGACTCTTGCTCTGTAATTTTCTTAAAGTTAAATTTAATGTCCGTGTGTAACTTAAACCTGTTAATAAATAATTATTACACTATACTGGACTCTTCTATTACCATATCTAAAACGATCCCCTCACAATATTAATTACCACTAAAATATAAAAACTTTAGAAATTTAAATCTAAAAAATTACCTATCATAATTAATCCTACAAAATTTCAGTTTTATGTGCTGTAGTAAAATGCTTATTTACACAAGAAAGAGTAAAACAAATATTAAATTTTTAATCTTTTAATAATAAAAATCAGAATTTACATTAAATACATAAAATGTACATATATTACAATTATATATATATATATATATATCATATATCATATAAATAAAAATCTTAACCAATTCCCTTATTTATGTAACATATAAGAGAGATTTGATCGAAAAAAACAACTCTTACAAAATACAAAAGAAAACACTGAGTAAGTATTCTGGCCTGTAAAATTAAATGTCAGATAGGAAAACAACCAATGTTCCAAGATTCTTTAAGGGAAAAAAACAGGAAAATTGTGATTTTTTTTATGTAACAATATTATCAGAAATGAATACATATGTATGAAACATAATACATTAAGTTCACAAATGTGGTTCAGTGTAAGGTTATCAAAATGCCATTTTCATAACCTTACACTGAAGTAAAAACATTAAAAATTAGACTCCCGCCAAAAAATTAAGAAATAATCATAATTCACATAACATATACTCATCCCAAATACAATGACAAATTGTTTAAAAATCAAATTCAATTGACCTAAGAAAATGTTTTAAAAATCAAATTCCATTTATTTCTGTTAAATCAAAGAATACGTTTAAAACTCACATGAGAATTTTTTCCTAAATAAAGCTGAGATTAAATGACCATAGCCATATTTTATCTGTTCGAAATGAACATTACTGACTGAAGAAAATATTTCCTTAAGTTAAAAATATTTAAACTATTACTCTATATTGAAACTGAATTTAGCAACTTCATATTTTGGAGCATTTTATAATATTTTTATATTTTTGAGAGAGAAATGGACAACTTTTATTGACAAAGAACTTTTTATATTTCTGTATGATTATATCTCCAAATTATATTTATATGACACAATGATTAAAATTCAAAGTCACTTCATCCACCACTAGGAAAATTGATTGTAATATTAGAACACAATTAGTATGCGAGGACCCTGTATCAGATACCTATATCACTTCAATTCTTTGCATTCTTCAGTCAATCAAATGGAAGGAAATTGATGTCTATTATTTTATTTGACATGCACGTACAGAATACACTGCACTTTTATCAAAACATTATCTTGATACAAGTTAGTCCAATTTCTAAAATGAAATTTTGATGTTTCTTTTCTTCAAACATTGTGCAATTTCCATTCAGTTCAGTTTAATACGGCATACATTAAATCATACACTAGTTATTAAAATTATTGATGAAATCTGAATACATTATGAGGGTCTATCAAGAAATCATAAAAAAAGAATGAAAACATGGAACATTGTTAGTCATATACCCTGTGATGTGTCAAATGGAAAACAGAAATTATGCCTTTAAAAAAATAGCTCTAATTTTAATATTGCTTTTAAGAACGGAAACGCCTCTTCCTTATTGTGTACATCAACCACTGCACAATGAAAGGCCAAGCTAGTATAATAACTGCAAGTTTTGGAGAAATACCCAGGAATGTCCAAGAAGACTGTTTTCCAGTAGAAACCTGCAAGTTAAAACATTTCAGTTAGCAATCTCTTGAAATGCTTCCTGAAATAAAAATGCATAAACAGTAAAAATATTTCAGCACAATACAAAAGAATTAAATTATTTATAAATAATTTGGGTACATGTAATTTAATATATCATGGTCATCCAAACTTTGTGCCAATTAAAGCTACAAGCTGGAATTTTATGAGTACAAATGTGTAAAGTTCTTGCTCTGTACTCATGAAAAATGTTCCAGTGTTTCTTATGGGAAAATGTTCCAACAAATTTTACACTTTTAATATGGTGTGGAGAGCACTAGTTCTAGTCACCCACATTTCTGATTATACTTGTCAGGTGCTTTTAACAGGAAGTATGCTGAATATAAATTTAATGTTTTCTAAAATTAGAATAATCAGAATATTTTTGAAATTATTTAAACATTAAAACCACAAACAATTTGTTTGATAAAACCTGCTAAACTTTTTCACCTTTTTCACATATTCTAAACAGAGTTGTTTACAGCATTGCAGCCCCCCCCCAAAAAAAAAAACTTTCAGTTTTGGATAAATTTGTATAAACAAATTTTTGTTTTATCACAATTATATAGAAGCCATAACAGTTCGATTTCACTTCATATACACTTGTGCAGATAATCATGATTGCCTATGATGTTGAATGTTGCACATTTGATTTTTTAAATGAGGCTTCATAAATTACTTAGCAAAAACTTTTCAGAAAATCTAAATCTTGCACTAAATTTGCTGTCTTTATTTGCTTGGCATAACATGTAGCTGCTTAAAGTATTCTATATATCACATTCTCTAAAATCAGCTATACTTTAAACTCTTCCATGACTGACATTCCAATATTTGCATCACTTCCACACATTTTTTATTATTCAATACAAGTAATCATAATTGCAACTCAACAAGACCCTATTATTAAAATTTGAATTCCAAATAAATTACATATACTGAAAGACTGCTAATTGCTTTTAAAATGTATTCAGCACAAATTAACATGGATACTAAATACAGATTATAATAATTTATTTAATCATACAAATACCTTTAAAATAGAGCTGTCAGCCTTTCGCTGAGTGAGAAGTGCTTCTAGTGAATCTAAACGTACTACTACTTGTTCCATAATGTGCTGCAAGCGAAGCACTGCCAGCGCTAACTGTTCATTGACATCAGCTGTAAGTTCTGGATTTAAATTGCCTCCACTTCTTCGACTACCTCCTGCACCACCACTGGTGCTGTTATTTGAGCCATAGGGTAACGGATTATCTGAGCCTACGAATAAAATGTACAAAAAATCATTTTGAGAAGGTTATGAGAATCAATAAGCAAAATTACAAAAGAGAGGGAAGAAAAAAGAAAATAAATGAAATTAAAAGAAACAATTACCAACATGAAATTTTCCAGATTATTTCCCCCCCCCAAACAAATTCATGGAAATTTGCTATTAGTCTCAATTATCATTTTTTTTGTCTGCATCACTTTAAATAAAAAGACATCCATGTTACTGACATGCAATATTGTCAAAGAAAGAGTAACATATATAAAAAAGTTGTGGCCACAGAAATAAAAGGATGTTGCCCACCAAATGTTATTGCCAAGCATGGCAATATTTAATTCTCTAATAGAGAATTTTAAAGATTTTCTGTTTTACTGCTGTTGAATTTTATGCCATGCAAGAGTGAAGAAAATGATGTTAAGACAAAACGCTAATATTAAATAGAGTAATATTATTAAAACTGAACATTGATATTATGAATTCAGGAAAGATTGAAAATACATTAACAGTAACATTTAATACTGTATCGAGTATTCTAGATATACGCTGCTTTGTGATTTTGCTGTTGAGCTTTATGGTATGGTGCAAAGTCTGAAGAATGTGATGCTTAATACTAAAAATATGCAGGTCATCTTGTTAAGAAAAGTGATTATTGACACAATATGCTGAGAAAAAACAGAAAAATGTATGGCAACACTAAACACTCTATCAGGAATTCTAAAAATATGATGTTTTTGGAATTTTTAAGAATTTATTGCCAGTTTTGTGGCATAAGTATGAAGAAAACTATATTAGTATAGTTTAAAAAGACAATAACTCTATCATCAAAGGTAAGTCCAAGAGCAATTAAAAAAAAACTGTGAACTCTACAAGAGCATAAAAAAACTTAACAAACCCTCTGGTGGAATGATAAAATCAGAAAACTTTCCCCCTAAAGATTAAATTAAATGATTCATTCTGTAGCATTCAAGTTAAAAAACTTAACTAAAATCACAGAAACCCTATTAGATAGCACAATATTTTACATTTTATGAGAATAGCAATCTAATTAGCTACAACCCTCCCCCTTCTCCAAAAAATACACACCCATCCTACAGAAGGAAAAACACACAAAGTTTGGTTTCTTATATTACTGAAATTTTTAAAATTAAAATTACTAAAAAAAATCTGAAGGGTTTTAGATTTTAAATTACCGGTTAAATTACCCTTCATTCAACTCAAAATAAACGAACAGATGGTCCAAAAAAAAAAAAAAAAAAAAAAAAAAAGGAAAGGCTTTAGATTTTAAATTACATTCAAAGGAGCTTTTTTTAATGTTTTGTATGTTACCTTTATTTATTAAGTATCATGTTCTTTGCACTTAAACCATAAAATTCAGTTCAACAGCAATGTCGCAAAATAATTTTAAAATGAGCATATCTTTAGAATTTCCGACACACAGTTCTGCATGCTGGAGATAAAAAATCCCCCCCATAGAGTTTTGCCATTGCTTGCTTTTAAATTGTTGAGTTTATTAAAAAAAATTTATTAAAGTTTTAGAAAATATGAAATCGATAATAAAACAAATTCCAAATTTCAAATTTGGGCTTTCAGATGCCCATTTTCGCAGCAGGATTAGGTCATTCAAAATTGGATGGCTCTAGGTACCATTGTTTTATCACAATGCGAGAAACATACATACATTTATGCAGATTTTTCATTATTTAATTTCTTCAAATATAATATAGGGCGATAGTATTTGGTGGCAATGGTTTGAAAAGTGATACAGACTTTTAAAGTTTTCAATGCAAAATAAAAACAATAGTCCTTCAGGGACAAAGCCCCTCTGGACTAAAAATTTGATAATTTAAAACTTTTTTTGTAACTGTATGCATACGTCTATCATTAAAAATTACAAAAACAAAAATCGGGTAAGGATTTTTGTGGATACAGTGCATATTTATACAATAAATTTCTCTCATGCACTATTTTCATTTTGTTTGACACATTTAAAATTTAAGCTTATTTTATTCAGAAAAGTTCAGTAATTTTTTCAGGTACCTCCCACAAGAGTCTCATGATTAATCATATTCGATTTCAGGGTTGCAGAAATGCACCCCTGTATGCAAAAAAATGACAACAGAAAAACACACATACTTCTTCCCTGTCGAGATGATCTGCTTCCCCTGCTGCTAGACGGAATTCCAACAGCTGAGTTACCATCCCTTCCTCCGCTTGGCTGCTCTCCACCACCTCGGACATAACTGACATTTGATCCTTTGATGTCTGCTACAGGGTTCTTAGCAACAACATTTCCGAGAGATACAGATGTTTCTACAGAATCATTCTAGGGAGAAATTAGGTAATGATAAGTCATGAAATCATTCAACAAATTAATCAGAATTTATTTATAATACACAAAGCTATTATACCAGATTTTATTTTTACATAACAGAAAATCCCCTAAAACTACTTGCAGAAATCAGTTCACTGCATTAAAAAAAAAATAGAAAAGAAAGAACAAATATATTAGAACTCTGATTATCTGGATCACTTTTTCTTTCTTCGGGCTGATAAAAATTAAGCTTGCTGTTAGTTTACATGTGCCTTTTTAATATCTTCCATTGAATTACATGACACAAAATGATGAAATAGTACAGTCAAAAGTCGTTAATCCGGACTCGTCGGGACTTCGGCGATTCCGGATTATCGATCATCAGTTTAAATCTCGTAAGATGGCATGCAGAAATTCTAAAATAAAAAATATGAAACCGCAATTTATGAAATAAAGAACAATTATGATCTAAAAAAAAGCTTAATATTTATTTGTTTACTTTATTAAACATTTCTCTCAATGTAAGTTGTTTAAGTTGCTTCATTTTATGTGATAATACTTTCTCTTTAATTCTATAAAAAGACATAATTTCTTTTTCAGTTACAAAGTTCCACTGTTCAAGTCCCGTTAATTGCTGTGCCGAGAATACCGACTAACTTGTCAACCAAATTTTTTTCATTTTCACTAACCTCTCTGTCACATTCTTCATGTCTTTATCCATTTTTTGCAGCAATTCCATTTTTTGTTTGTTGGACATCGAAACATACTTTCGTTTTGTAGATCCTTTTGGAAGTTCCAGCATCGGAAATTCTATTTGACATAATCGAAAGTTCAAGTTTACTTTTATAAAATTGCTCTTACAGTCTGCAAAAAATAATAAGCAGGATCCAATTCGAAGATTAAGGAACAACGCAATCATGAACATTAACTGAAATAGATAATTAGATAATTTTAGCTTACACCATCCGTTATACATTAAACGCGCAGGCGAAAACATATTCTGCACTTGCGCACACGCATATGCGCAGTAGTCAACGTCTTACGCGCACGCGTAAAACGCCTGTGCGCATGTGCCAACGCGGCGCATGCGCAGAAAGTTTTTAGCATTGAGGTCCGGATTATGGGTGTCCGAATTAACAACTTTTGACTGTACAATATATGCTTTTTAAGAAGGTGTGAATTGTGGAATGCAAAACCTATTTACTTACTTATAATAATAAATTTGTACACACGTTCACCTAATTTAATTCAATAAAATGACATAGCATACCAATAACACATCACCACATATTCGGTATGTACCGTATCTAAAAATATCCTTAGCCAGCATTTAATTTTTGTAACTTTCGGTTTTAGATATACAGTCAAAAGTCGTTAATCCGGACTCGTCGGGACTTCAGCGATTCTGGATTATAGATCATCAGTTTAAATCTGGTAAGATGGCATGCAGAAATTACAAAATTAAAAATATGAAACCTTAATTTATGAAATAAAGAACAATTATGATCTAAAGGGTATCAAAATTTACAAAAAGAAAAAGCTTAATATTTATTTGTTTACTTTATTAAACATTTCTTTCAATGTAAGTTGTTTAAGTTGCTTCGTTTCATGTGATAATACTTTCTCTTTAATTCTATTAAACAGACATAATTTCTTGTTTAGTTACAAAGTTCGGCTGTTCAAATCCTATAATTGCTTTAAATCATATCAAAGACGGAGTACATAGAGATGAAATACTACCATTACATAAGCCAAATAAAATAAAAACATCTGCCATGAAGATAAGGATAGTGTTGACAGATCAACTTCCAATTCATCCCCCCCACCGCAGAGCAGCGTGAAATTGATAAACAGATTTTGGAACATACTTTCGCTCTTTGTAGATCCTTTACATATTAGTAAATATATATCGGAAATTCTATTTGACATAATCGAAAGTTAAAGCTTACTTTTATAAAATTGCTCTAACAGTCTGCAAAAAATAATAAGCCAGATCCAATTTGAAGATTAAGGAACAACGCAATCTGCAACATTAACTGAATTAGATAATTTTAGCTTAGCTTATACCGTCCATTATACATTAAACGTGCATGCGTAAACGTATTATGCGCATGCGCACATGCATGTTCGCAGCCGTAAAGGTCTTACACACACGCGTAAACACCTATACGCATGCGTGTAGCTTTAAGGTCCGGATAATGGGTGTCCGAATTAACGACTTTTGACTATATAAACTTTAAATGATAAAATTGTTTCAAAGATTGATGTATTTACATTTTGGGCTCTTTTTTTATTAAAAAATTTATTTCATAAACACTACAAAATTTAACTTTTTATACAGTTTTTGGTTCCTACATAATTAGTACTTAGTATAAAACAACACCACCAACAAAAAAGCTCGATTCCTGTATGAAAAAAACTGAATGAGATATTTAATTTCAAAATTTGGGATAATAATTCATGGTAGATTTTTAATACTTAAATGCCCTTTAATTAATTTATGCAAGTGTGATTTACTAGAGTGTAACATTTTTTAAGACACAATAACATGCCAAACAAATACTAATTCAGAAGTCAAATAACAAAAATGTTTTAGTTCTGGTTTCATCAACAGATGGCTCCACTAGCTTATCTCCTGTCCAGGCTTTCTTATCATTTTATCCTATCTTGTTCATTTACGCTTTTGCAGTTGAGGATGGTGGTTCGGTAAAACCATAGAAACTAGTTCTGTGAAAATTTGAAAATGCTAATTTTTGTTGTTTGACTTCTGAATTAGTATTCTTTAATTTATAATTTTGTAACAATTGTTATGCCATAATAATTTTCATACAAGTAATTTATTCAAGCACTAAAAATATGCTATTAACATTCTTCTGAAGTTTTAATACTTTAGAATCACAATTTAATAATCATATAAAAAATTCAATCAACTAGAAATATTTTTTATTTATGGAAATAATACAGTTAAAAGTCGTTAATCCGGAATGATCTATAATCCGGACCTCAAAGCTACAAACTTTCTTCGCATGCGTCAACGTATAATGCGTTCCCGCGTGCACATATGCATTCACGCATGCGCATAATACCTTTACACATGCGCATTATATGTTTATGCATGCATGTACAGACGGTATACGCTAAACTAAAATTATCTAATTCATTTCATGTTGCAGATTGCGTTGTTCCTTAATCTTCGAATTGGATCCGGTTTATTATTTTTTGCAGACTGTTAGAGCAATTTTATAAAAGTAAGCTTGAACTTTTGATTATGTCAAATAGAATTTCCGATGCTGGATACTGACAAAGGATCTACAAAGCGAAAGCATATTTCGATGTCCATCAAACAAAAAGTGGAATTGCTGCAAAAAATGGATAAAGGCATATCCTTTGTTTCTCTAACCATTCTGAAATCTGTTTATCAATTTCACGCTGTTCTGCGGAGGAGGGGAATGTCGCAGTGAGCAATGAACTAGAAGTTGATATGTTAGCACTATCTTTATCTTTAGGGCAGATGTTTTTATTTTATTCAGCTTATAGTTCATTACTAAATGTAGTATTTCATCTTGATGTACTCTGTCTTTAATATGATTTAAATCAAATTCATTATAAATATCACGAATACACATCAACTAGTTTTCTGGTTGCAATTTTCTAGTTTCGACTATGCATAATGTATGCTTTACGCATGTGCGCGTTGAAAGAAATGTTTAAGAAAGTAAACAAATAAATATTAAGCTTTTTTTTGTAAATTTTTAACCCTTTAGATCATAATTGTTCTTTATTTCATAAATTACGGTTTCATATTTTTAATTTTATAATTTCTGCATGCCATCTTACCAGATTTAAACTGATGATCTATAGTGCGGAAAAATCAATAATCCGGAATCGCCGAAGTCCTGATGAGTCCGGATTAAAGACTTTTGATTGTACTTTGAATTGGCTACATGTCAACACTGAAGCCTGTCATTGTGTTTGTTAATAACACCCCCTTTTTTGGGGAATGAGGAGAAAAATTCTATTCATGACCATTTACACCGAGATGCTTATAACTTAATCTATTAGCATCAAAGCCTTTTCTTACGCTCATATTTTTAGTTATGCATGCATGGAAACATTTGATTTTTAACTTGCATATGGCCTCTAAATATGATTTTCAACTTTAAAATGAAATATCTCTGTCAATTTTCTCATTTTTCATAATTACAAAATTTTTCTATACATAAGTTATGGAACTATAGAAAACATAAAAAGTCAGATTTCTCAATTTATTTTTTTAAATTAAAAATTCCAAAACATGAATATTTGTATATAAAATTTCTATAATTAACAGTACACATCTGCAAACAACAGTTGTGGAAATAAAAGCCAAGTGAAGACTGGGGGAGAAGACTCGTACATATTATTTGGCATATACATAGTTTAACAAACCTGCTGTTCTTAGAAAGAAACTTCCAAGAAACTCTTAAGTTTTTTTAATATATTCTTCTTTTCTAAACACACACTAAACAGTTTTGATGATGTCACTGTTGTTGTTTTAGAATAAGTCGCATACCTATAGCTATTAGCTTTTTGGTACCTATTGCACTGTTTCTTGCGCAAGATTTTTTTATTTGATGTGAAGACTAAAATCTTTTTAGCTATATAAATATTTTTGAAATAAAACAAAAAAGGTGAAAAAAATAAAATTTGCTCACTTGTATTACAATAAATTAATTTACATGAAGAAAAAAAAAAAGTACAACCCAATTAGCCCAAAATTTTTCTAAATAACTAGATACCTACACTCCCTCTTAATCCATATAATTGATGTTTAAATTGTACACCATTTTGAGGTAAAATGATAATGATTTTTTATGATGACTCCTACAAAAATATTGTACATCATTTTGAGTAAATCATATGAAATTCTTTAACTAAGCTTTTATTTATAACAATAATGTTCAATTAAATTCTAATTCATTAAATCTTACATTAAAACATTAAATACATGATCAGAACTAACATACATAAAGAGAGTACAGAAAGGAATTCCACATAAATCAATGCTGCCTCATTATAAAAGAAATAGATTTTGCCCAGTATTTCTGCTATTGAAATTATTTTCAATTTTCCATTCACCATCAACTTAATGTTATTTTTCAACATGCAGTAAGAGAGTACAGAAAGGAATTTCACACAAATTAAAGCTGCTTCATTATAAATGACACAGATTTTGTCCAATATTTCTACAGACGTTACCCTAACAATTGAAATTACTTTCAATTCCACTTTCATGATCAACTTATGTTATTTTTCTACACGCTGTTAACTTAGCAGACTAAATTAAGATTTCAACGAGGAGAGTGAGAATTTCTGTTGATTTTATAGAACGCACATAGAAAACCTTAAAATTACACTAAGTTTTATTAATTTAATTAATTTTATTTGGGAATTTCTAGTACATTATATGAACAAAGGCAAAATTTATTCTAAAAATTTGCCATCAAGCATTTTTTAAATATTTTGTATGCCAATCTATGCTCCTTTTACTCCAAATTTATTCCATAAAACATTTTGTAAAAAAACTTCGTATGCCAAAAATATGGCGCAGAGCAATAGCGCTTCTCATGTTTTGTATCGAGAATGCGAAGACGCTGCTGTTGTTTAGTATACTTTATGCAATTATTGAGAGCAGTTGTAGTGATATCAGCAGCAGTTGCTTTATAGGAATTGGAAATTGTTTTCATTTTTTACCAAGTGTTATACCGATAATTACGAAATAACGCCACGTCAAGTTTTGATGCATTTGAAAGTGACTATGTTATGAGAAGTGATAATGAAGAGTATAGTAATGACCTTGAAAGTGATAGTGGAAGTGACATCATCATTCGTTCTAAGAGATTAAGAGTTATTAGTGATAGCAGTGATGAGGATGAAGTAACTGCAAGTACCTCCGATGACGATATTATTGATGAGTTTTTCCTGTGGATACAATTTTTCGAAAGAATCGAATACTTTTTCTGAAGTACCTGGACCAAAGCATGCCCCTCCTCCTGATGCAAAACCAATTGAATATTTCAATAATTTTTTTCAATTTTCAATAATTTTTCTTTCAAGTATACTAACCAACAGCAGCGTTTTCGCATTCTCAATACAAAACAAGAGAAGCGCTATCGCGCTGTACCGTATTTTTGGCATACGACAAGTGAAGCGCGGGCCGGACTCAAATAGTTAATATAGTGTACAAACAACTCAAAAAATTGCAACTTGGACAGCAAGTGAAACATCAAAGACTTTTTTCAGTTACATAACATGAAAATATTACTATGGAATATTAAAAATATATTTCTTGTTCACCTATTCAGTTATTATATTGTATATAAATTCTATTGCATGAAATAAAATATTTATATGTACTAAGTAATTAAAAAGAATGTGTTTTCTTCTCAAACAAATAACAACGGGGAATCATCAAACAAACAATTTCCTCAGAAATCCTCTTAGTGGTCTTTTGCTAATCTTAATAGCTAGTCACATTTTTTACTGTCCCCCCCCATTTTTGCTCCCTAATAGATGACCAAGCTATAGCAATTTCTATTTGGCGTATCACTGTATTTTACTCCAGAAAACCACTTGGACAGTTGTGATTTACTAAAGAGTCATTTTTAGAAATTTGCTGAAGCATAACAATACTCTGCTGCAGTTCTCCTCAACAAAATTTCACACTCAATCTATGTCTAAATCTCACACTAAAAAAGTCCCTGGATATCATCAGCAGGAACACAAAACAAATCAGCATTTAGGTCAAACTGCTGAAAAAGCTCAAGTTGATACACTTAACAGACTGGTTATAGGAAATCTTAAGCTAACAAAGCACAGCCAACAAGGCATAAACAGTAATTACAAAATCTTCATAAGTGGTTATTTTTAGATACTCTTACATATGACAAATAGGAAATAGATGAAAACCCTAAATGTAATGGACACATATTATGATTATGTAATTTACATTATACAGATGATAACAATGACTGCTAATGATAAAAAGTGACAAGAAATTGAGAATTTATTTTTAATAAATTTAAATGTGATGTTCTCAATTTCAAATAAATTTATGAAACTTAGAATATTATGTTAAAATTGGGAAAAATTCCATTAGAAATATTTAAAAAAATACAGAATACCTCATTAACTCTTTCAAGAGTGTCAGAAAATTCTTCACTATCACTTTCATTACTTCCATTCATATTGTGACCATTCACAGAAGATAAAATCATATCTAGAAATAAATCATTTAAACATAAAGTTAGTGCATTTTCATGCTGTTCCTGAAAACATCAATTTGTAAAACTACTTAATTCTAAGCCTACTTAAACATTGGTAGCATGTCATTCTCAGAAAATAATTTTCCATTATTGTTATATAATAATTTTAAAAAAAAGTAATTCAAAAGTTGTTTTTATAGGTGATGTGTAAAGTTGCATCACAAATATAACTAACACTTAAAATTAGTTATGCTTTGAATTTTTCATAATTTAAGGAATATTGCACTTATTGGTGGGGGTTACTGGGATATAATTAAGCAAACTTGTCCAACTCAAAAGACATTGTGGAGCATTTTGGAAATGCATTTTATTATTATTATTTATTATTTGGGCTGCACTGTATATAAATATATATAATTTTTAGGTAAAAATTTAAAATGGAATAAATTGTTATTATTCCTAAAATAACAATATCATAGTTAAACATTTATTATTTTATAATTATAACAATTATAATCAATAACATAATCAAATACTGTAATCAGTGTGATATACGATTCTCTCACTTAGTTTTTAAAAATCGATCTCAGTACTGGTGTTTGCACATCATAACTGATGTTGCAGGTTTTTGTCCATTACAGATGACCATGATTTATGTTTCATGAGTTTAATTAAAAAAAACATTCAGACATAAGTTGATCTGCCACAAGCCACGAAGTTTTACCTGGTGAACTGCATGTGGCCTGCAGGTTGGCAATCCCTTGTGTAAAGCTTATGAGCTATCTCCCTAATTAGAATGGAAACCTTCATGGAAGATTCTGTAACAGAAACTTGCTCATATTCCTATTACAGATTGGGAATCACAAACCATGCAGACAACTCCTTTGCTTGGGATTCAAGATGAATTACATGAATTCAACAATCTTAACAACTCAGACACTGTGGGGCATTGTACTGATTGAAACAACAGTTATCTCAAGGTGTTATGGCTGGATGACATCTGCGTGTAATATGGATGATGGAGAAGTTCTCAACTGAATTCATTGATTTTTATTGCATGTTTAATGAAAAATGAGGCTATGTGCTATCATTAAGCAGCAGACTCTTTTCACTGGCTGCTGTAAGCAGTATTATTGTAGGTTCTGAATGCAAATATATTTGAGCACTTTAGGCATCAATGCTTACAGCTTGAACAGATTTGGCAAACTCATTATGATATACTCTTCTGCATCCCATCAAGTGCATAGTAAAGTTGCTTCCCATAAATATAATGGCTTTACTGTCTTCACTTTTTAAATGGGAAAATATAATCAGTTGCAATTTGTGCAACTGATTCAGAAATAGGTCATTATGGCATCTAAAACATATAAAGAATAAATGACAATGCTTTGCACTTTCACTCATTAGGTTATTTACCATTTATAAACTATCAAACACAAAACTGGGAATTTTATTTAATACAATTACAACACTCCCTTAAATGACCATAAGCTATATGTTATGTTAAATGTGAAATTTCTCACATGTATTTTTCAACAAAAATTGATACATTTTTATCAGCATTTGTAAAAATTCCTTCATTGCTCTTTCCTTTTTTTTTTCATTCTGATATCTCAGTTCATGCAAGAAGTCATTCATGTGCTTTGGGACTTTGAAAAAAGTGAATGAATGAAGCAGAGTAGCATGTTATCTAGATCCGTGTTTCTCAACTGCTGGTCCGTGGACTGCCCCCGGTCCATGAAATATCAAGCTATCTGTCCAAAATCTAAAGTGTCTTCGGTCGACAACCGATATTACAACAGCACCTACATTACAATAACAATAGTTTACTAGTTTAGAAAATAATATGATCGACACTAAAAAATATAACAAATTGGCAACTATGCACCTAATTGCCTTTCATAAATTGCAGTGCCATACACTTAGTACAGCAGTTAGTGTGCCCCTGTCTGTCTTGAGTATCACTGATTACTTGAACACTGAACATCTATCGTAGTGTTTAAGGCATCTTAGGTTTCGCTTTTTATCTTGCTTACATTCTTCTGCACGCTTGGACAACTGAAAACTATTTATCAGCATTTTGGGGTCTTAATTAGACACAGCAATTACCTAGTTAATTACTGCTAGACACCCATTTAAGAAAAATAAACTCTTTTAATAAATCAAAATATATACATAGCATTAGGATAACATAAATGTCAGCAATGAATACAGTGTGTACGTGCACTCGTAAAAACAGAAGGCAAAAGCTCTCTTTTTGCAGTCACGCAGAGAAGAGGTTCTTATTGCGCATGCATGAGGAGAACTTGAGGCTCTGAAGAAATGTGAGGGAAAGGTAGCCCCACAGTGCAAGTTTTTAATAACTTCTGACTTTAATACTGTGCTATAACTTCTATTTCTGTAACTTTAGGTAGATTAAAAATCAATAACCAGGATGAGTAAGAAGGAAACGAAAGGCACATTACTAAATTTCGTGCAAAGAAAGGATTCTCCAAAACCAGGTACGTCGCCTGCCCCTTTTAATACCGATGAAGGTGAATATAATCCACAATCTGCCAAAAAAAGAGAAAGGCTTTGTAAGGCACTATATCGTATACTATTTGAAATATGGTTCTGTCCTTTGGCCACAATCAGAAGAAAATTGTCTAAAACCTGAATGTTTTGTTTGTAGAGATGTTCTTTTCAACAAAAAAATGAAATCTTCGAAGCTTTCGTGGCATTTACAAATGAATCACCCATCACCCACAACTTGAAAGCAAACCCCTGGACTTTTTCCAGAGAAAAGGCTTAGAGATGAATATTCAAAAAGATGCTTTTAAAAATGTTTCTCGGTTGATAAATCATTTTTAAAAGCATTGTATTTAGTTGCTCCGCATATTGCCAAATCTAAGAAACCATACTCGGTTGCAGAAGAACTTGTCAAACCTTGTTTGATAGAGGTGCGTTGTGAAGTGTTGGGCCAATCTGCTGCAGATAAAATGAAAACTCTGCCTCTATCAATGATACGATACTATTGGAAGAAGAATATGTGAGTTATCATATCATACGACATAGAAAGTCAAAGATATTCGTAAATCAAAATGGTTTGATGACCAAATAGATGAGAAAATTGACGTCTCAAATAACGCCATATTATTATGTTATGTTCATTGGAGACTATGCAATCAATGAATGATATTAGAGAATTGATGTTCTGTATCAAACTACCATTCCAAACAACCAGTGACAACCAGTGCTGAAATACTTAAGGCAGTTAACAATTAAATTGAAAGTAACTCCACTGACTGGAAAAAATGCATCGGTTTGTGTACTGATGGCGCTGCTGCTATGACTGGAAGACATACAGGTATTGTGAAGAGAATAACAAACGTAGCTTCAGAAGAATTAGTAGTCACTCGCTGCATTATTCATCGTGAACATTTAGCCGCAAAGAAATTGTTCCCACAACTGAATGACATTCTTCTGGAATTGGAAAAAATTATGAATTTTATCAGAAGTAACGTCCTTAATTCTAGATTGTTTACAACTTTATGTCAGGAAATGGAATCGGATCATGTACAATCATTGTTGCACGCCGAAATATGCTTGCTATCCAAGGGAAAAGTCCTTAACAGGTAGTATGAGTTGAGAAATGAGGTACAATTGTTTTTAAATCAGAAGGGATCATTATGAGCAGACATTTTCAGAACTACGAATGGGTAGCCTTGCTTTCATATCAGATGCATTTTCACTGATAAATGAACTAAATTTAAGCCTTCAAGGTAAAAATAATACCGTTTTCAACTTTTACAATAAGATTGATGCTTTCAAGAAGAAATTGAAACTCTGGTACAAAAGTGCGGAAGAAAACACTATTGATATGTTTGCTTCTTTCAATCTTATTACAGTCGAGTAAGCAGAACTTATTGAACTATCATCAGATATAAGACTTAAATTACAATTCAATTCAGTAAATATATATCAGTTCTGGATAAAACTGCAACAGAATACCCCAATCTTCATGCAAAGGCGGTGAAGATTTTATTGCCTTTTTCCTGAACTTATTTGTGTGAAGTTACATTTTCGGCTATGACTGTTATTAAGACAAACATCGAAATAAACTTGCTGTTGGGCCTGCTTTACGCATTGCTGTAACTGGTTTAATGCTTAGGATTGACACTTTAGTCAGTATAACAGAGACCAACAGCAATCTCATTGATTTTAGTTTTAATTTCCTTTAATTTGGTAAATTATTTTTTGCTTATTTTGTATCACCCTACACTGTTTACATATAAATTCCTTGTTGTTTTTGTTAATATATTAATTAGAAAAATAAATATATCATTCATATTGGAATTTTCTTGGGAGTTTTATTCTCGACGCAATATTTTAAGTAAGTTGAATGTAAATTATAACAAATAAGATGCTTTAAAAATTATTTTTGTCTTCATGATTTATTTATGTGAAAACATTGAGCCAATGGATCGAATTATTAAACTTACCGGTCTGTGAGAATGTACTGAAATATTTTAATGGTCTTTGGAGTAAATCCAATTGAGAAACACTGATCTAGATCACACCTTACGGGACTCTGATTGCATATAAAATACATATTTAAAACCCGCAACATTGCAACTCATGCTACCTGTTATGCCATTAGTAAGCTAAATAATGAAAACCAATAAAATGACTTAATTAAACAAATTACACAAAACTCTAAATTTTCAAATTCTGGGTCTTAATGACTGTGCAGATCTAATATTCTAACTAAACACTAATATTCTGAAATTAATTTAACAACATAATATTGAAGGTTGAAATATATTTTGGATAAACATAGTTTATAAAATAAAATAAGTTGATAAATTTTCAAATTTCTAAAAAACTTATTCTCATATATCTACAATATTCACTTATTCTCATACATTTACAGTTAAGAGGTCTAAGCCAAAATTCTTTAATTAGTTGTGTTGTTAAATATTTTACTAATTACCTAGCCATGTACTAAGATTAATAAGTTGTCAAATCAACCCATCATTCTCAGCTGCACAAGTGCAAATGAGGATGAGGGGCTCAGTAAAACCATCGAAACTAGTTCTGTGAAAATGTGAAAACATAATGCTGATTTTTGTTGTTTGACTTCTGGATTAATGCTTGTTCGGCGTGTTATTTTTTCTTAATTAATTATCTATCTTTATTATGTGCATTCTAACCTACAGCTGATTAAAACTAAAGTTTCTCACTTGACAGTAAAAATATTTTGACATAATATTCTTAACAGAGTAACTTATATACTTAACAAAAATATAATTCCTTATGCTAACAAAAAAACCGATCACCAAATATTTTACACTGTGTTTTACATTATCAATGGCATTGTATGTTTACTTGCTGTTTAATTCACTCTACGGTTAAATTAACTTTAATTTAATTGCTGTTTAATTCACTGAAAACCAATATCAAATTACAAGAATCCTTCCTTTTTGAGAATCATGATAAAATTAATTTCATGCTATTTATTTATAATACAATGTAAAAAAGAATTTTTGGTCATATTCATATACTAGCAAATGTGTGCTAAAATACAATACTGGTAGCAAAAATGACAGCTAAAACTTTTATGATTATAATCAAGGAAAAAGCATTTCAAATGTATACAGATATCACAAACCTTCAGATGAATCATCATCATATTCTTTTTTGAAGCCTTTTAACGGTTTTCCGCTATTCAATGACCTCTCTGCAATTTCTATAAACAACAAACATGCTAGATTTTGAAATATTTTATAAAATGCATTATAAAATTACTATTTTCATTATTAGATTTAAAATGTTCAAAGAACAGTCAAGGAATGAATATCTAGCACTTATTCATTTTGATATGCAGATACATAGCAATTTCTTCTCTTAAATACTTAGATAATTATCAGTTCATTATAATTTGCAGATCATCTACAAAGGTGATTAAAGATAAATTACCATAATTAAAAATTTAATATGTGAATAAAGCAACACAACAATACATAACCCTTTTTTTGATATAATTTAACGATCACAAAAATTGTGCCCGATATTTATACTCTGAAAGATTAAGGGGAAGAGCAGACGCGCTGTAAAAGTGACTTTTCTCCCAACTAATTGAGATTCCTGTATTACACTTTCAAACACCTGCTGGTTAGGGAAATCACATCTTGTCCAATGACAATACACTGACTGCCTCTAGCCAACAAACCCTGTTTTTGGCTCTTGAGTGGCTGTCAAGGAAAGTTAACATTTTTCTATCTGATCTCAATAACAAATGAAGCCCCATGACATATTTGTTTGGACTGGAATGTTGTTCACACTGGTTTTCTCTTGTTCGAATAGCAGAGCAGAAGAGAGAAAGAATACAATTACAAAAAACTTAAATTCAAATAACATGGCAAGCTGTCTTTTTCTTAGCTTTATAATTTGGTCCAGCTTATTATGTTTTATGGTCTATTATTATTTACAGGCTATCATATCAAAATTAAAATCTGAATTTCAGTTACATCAAAATGTGTTCCTAATTCTGGAGCTTTTAGCAGGATCTGCAAAGTGAAAGCATATTTGGTTTTCTGTAGCAGCCTAGGTGCAATTACAGGTTAAGAAAGCATACTTTCAAAATTAGCATAGATTCTGAATGCTATACATCGAAATTTTCTGATTAATGGAATCTGTGGAGAAATAATAATAAATGAAGATGACATAGCAGAAGTTTTCAGCAGTGAACTAATGAATGATAAAATCAGTTGTATCAGTTTAAATCCAGAAAATACCACTGCTGATAGTGAAAAAGTGACTGAGAATTATAAGATTTCAATTAAGTATAATAAGAATTTTTTTTAATAACAGAACTTTGCAATTGAAACAAGAAGTTACATCTATTTATAAAATAAATTTAAAAAAAAAAAAAAAGGTATTAGCACCCCCCCCAAACCCCCCCCCCCAAAAAAAGGCTTAAACAATTTACATAGAAAGAAATGTTTTATAAAATAAATAAATACTGAGCCTTTTTATATTTTTATATATTTATTTGTAAATTTCAATCCCATCAGGACCATAAATGATCCATTACTTCATAAACAACCATTTCATATTTTTAATTTTATAATTTTTACATATCATCTTACTAGATTTAAAGTGATGGTCTAAAATCCAGAATCACCAAAATCCTGATGATTCCAGAGCTTGTACTCGTATTTTGCACTACACAATACTATACCAACATTTCTCCTAAAAATTTTAATTTTAGTTGTCAAAAGAAAAAAAAAATTTAACTGTATGTCAGGGCTGCCACGATACCTGGAAAACTGGAAAAAGTCAGGAAATTCGAAAATTGAAAAAAAAAAAATTCATGGAAAAAGTCACAGAATTTAAATATTTTAGTCAAAATCTGGAAAAGTCAGGGAATTTCATACGGAGATTTCCCCCCAAAAAAGCAAGTTTTGCGCCGACGTTGGAAGCGATCACTTTCTTGGCAAATTATGTATCGCGTGAACAACATTTGGCCAGCTGCATAGAACCAAATTTCGCAGCGCCAATCAGATTGTCTTTTAGAAAGGCAAAGCAAGTTTCGAGTAGCCTCGAGTATCGAGAGTATTATGTGCATATTCAGTGCATATTGAACTAAGGAAAATATGTATTCTCGTATAAAATAAAATCGGTTTAATCCTAGTAACCATGGAGGTTAGAATAGCCTCCATGTATTCTATTCTAACCTCCACGTACTGTAAAAATGGGATTTGTGGACATAGTAAACGGGTCATTTTGGTGTTGGTGAGTTTTCAAAATTGTATCAAGGCCGTAGCGTATACTAGGATTTTACCACAAAATCTTTTTAACCCTTTTTTTTTAAATAAATGCATTATTTGTCATTTTGCAGTAAAATAAAAAACTAGTAATCAGTCACCTAGGCTAACCATTTAATATTACTAACAATATTCGCCAAAATATCATTGATTATTCTAATTCAATTTTTAAATAATTATCTTTATTTTAATCTTATTCGTATCATTTAATGTTGCTTCTTTTTTCTAAATGTATTTATTATTAGTAAATAATACTTTCAAATTTCAGAAAATTTTCTTTAGCAAAATCCTGGAACTAATTCTAGCAGTATGATGACATACCATCATGAAATTTAATGCATATATGTTTTGCTTATGTATGCTGTTAAAATATAAAATACCTGAATTTATTTAAAAATATCATTAAACAGATTTTTCTTTCATTTAGCTGAAAAAAAATTAATCCAGACTGGGCAGATTCTAATCTCAATCTTTAGTGGAGAAAACAACTCCTATTATAGTTAAAATAGTAATGCTTTGGGGATTAAAGTTGTATGTAATTGGCAAATTTTTTGTTTTCAAGTGGCACCATAATTACCGTAATTTCGCACGTATAGTCCGCAGACACGATTTTATATAAAAAAAATTTCAAAAATCGTCAGATAGTCCGCACCACCGGATAGTCCGCGGACTATACGTCCGAAATCACGTTTTTTTAATACTGCAATATCCCCATGCTTTTTAAACACATCCTTTTGTTTACGCCAATTTCTCACTGCTTTCTTGTTCACTTCAAAATAACGGGGTAAAATCCTAGTATACGATGCAGCCTTGGCGCGACTTTGAAAATTATCGCCAACACAAAAATGATCCAAAGAACGTCTATATATATAGTATACACACATAGTATATGTATATACACACATAATATATATACTATATACTATGTTTAACTATATATTTTCTTTGAATGACCCGTTAACTACTCATCGTATATGTCCCGTTTTCACTGCTCATCATAAAGTCGCCAAAAGTAGCCAAATCTCGTGTGCACCGAATACTAGGATTAAACCAATAACGGCCCGCTTCTCTATTTCCATCTTTGCCAACTACCTTGAGTTTAACTCAGCAGTAAAACTCCGGCGATGTTTCATCAACGTTATCGAAGATGAAAGACAAAATACGAAAACAAAATACTGTGCAACGTGCTATACTCGTGATAAGTGGTAATGAAATGTGACCTTCGACCCCACTCACTCGGTGTTGCCAAACCACGCTATAAGTAAACGAATCACGCTTTTTTTTTTTTTTTTTTTTTTTTCCCCGTACTCCAGGTACTTGCTACTATGGCTCCTAAAAAAAACCGAGTTGACGCATCAACTACTTTTTCCCCCTCCTGGCAGGCAGTTGCGCTTAAAGCAGTGCGAAGGATACTGGGATACAAGACTCTGGTTGCGCTAAGTGAGTGCTCATACAAGACTTTCTTTGGCTCATATCTCGGCATCGCTTGATGCGCCAGCCTGGATTTTAGGGAGCTCTACTTGCTACTACTCATTCGTTCTGCACTATGCTCTATGGTTTACTATCGATACGATACATACGAATGTTTTCTTGGAATCTCGCGCTTTTTTTTATATTTGATCATCGGCAGTTCGCGACAGCGTGTTTTTTAAATTTCAACGATTTTAATCATGAACAACCAGCGTATTATCCGCACTGGTGGATAGTCCGCAGCTTCAAAAATTCGCATTTTAAACACAGATAGTCCGCGGATTATACGCGCGAAATTACGGTAATTTATCTTTTAACACAGCCAATGTGCACTATGCAGATAGACTGGAATTTTCTTAAATCACACCTGGAAAAGTCAGGTAATTTCATTTTTCTGTTTGAGTGGCAACCCTGGTGTTTTAGGTTTTTCAGCATTTTACAAGTTTTAATGAAGATATTTTCAGTTTTATGTATTTTTGCCCTGCCACAAGGTGATAATCGAGTTGATTAAATGAGAAATGTAAATCTAATCAAATTCCAGGAAATAATAATGAATTGCAGCAAAAAATGTGTATAATTTACTAGGCTGTAAGGAAGTTGTAGTGTCCACATCACCTTTTTTATTAATAATAATTAAAATGTGTTTCAGTCGCTTTTATATAATGTCACATAATTCACCTAAATGGACAAAAGTGATTTCTTGAACTAAAAAAAAAAATAAAATTTTAGATCATCTTGCAACTGGATAAAGTGCTACATCTGCAGAAAAGCATTTAAATATTCATGAAGCTACTGTAAGAGCTATTAAAAATGAAGTTGCAATTAGGAAGTATGTTCTGGAACAAAAGTAAGAATTAATTTGTCATCAACAGATAATTTTCCACAGTTTGCATTGAATAGCATATGGGAATAATAGAGCCACAGAATGAGTTAGTTTACACTTGCACTAAATAAACATTTATATATGCATCATTCCAAAGTGTAAATTAATTAATGTGCAGATGGATATTTAAGCATTTTAAAAAATTAATAAATGTACACACACACTCATAAAACACAAAGATGAAAATAAATGCAAAATTGTCAAACATAAAATACACTAAAATCCTAGATGAGATTTTATAAACAGTATATAAAAGAATAATCAAATAAAAAGAATTTATACCCTCAGGGCTCTTCTTCAATATGTTGTTATTTTTTCCATTCATTAGATTGTGCTGTTCTTGTATTTCTTTGGGAACAAAATCAATGTAAGGCCCAATTAAATGCATGTAGTCCGATAAACAACTCAGATCATCTAACTCAGTCTCCTTTATAATCTGAAAGTTTTTTTAGTTAGTTTAATTTATATACAGTTCTAAATGATATAAATATTTGCATACAGGATAGAATGAAACTTAATGCATTTATTTTACTTAAATTTCTAAAAATTGAATTGCTGCGTTGGACATAATATTGGGCTGATTCTGCTTAAATCCAATTAACAAGATTAAAAGAGGAGGCAACAAACCTGAAGACAAAATACTTCCTACAGATATGGGTTGTAACTTTCATGTCAAGCCCCCTTGTTAAAAATTGAATTGCTGCGTTGGACATAATATTGGGCTGATTCTGCTTAAATCCAATAAACAAGATTAAAAGAGGAGGTAACAAACCTGAAGACAAAATACTTCCTACAGATATGGGTTGTAACTTTCATGTCAAGCCCCCTTGTAATTACTTGGATTATTGGAAAAAGAAGGTGGTCTTAAATAAAAAGTATGCCAATTACTGAAATGATAATCTGGGTGAAATACCTTGAAAACTAAACACAATACAGTCAAAAGTCGTCAGGCGCCGCACTGACGCATGCGCATAGGCGTTTTACTCGTGTGCGCAAGACATTTACGACTGCGCATATGCATCTGCGCAAGTGCGGAATACGTTTTCGCGTGCGCGTTTAATGTATGACGGACGGTATAAGCTAAAATTATCTAATTATCTATTTCAGTTAATGTTGATAATTTGCGTTGTTCCTTAATCTTCAATTGGATCCGGCTTATTATTTTTTGCAGACTGTAAGAGCAATTTTTTCTAAAAGTAAGCTTGAACTTTCGATTATGTCAAATAGAATTTCCGATGCTGGAGCTCCCAAAGGATCTAGAAAACGAAAGTATGTTTCGATGTCCATCAAACAAAAAACGAATTGCTACAAAAAATGAATAAAAGCATATCCTTTGTTTATCTAACCGTTCCGAAATCTGTTTATCAATTTCACGTTGCTCTGAGCGGGGGGGGGACGTCGCGGCGCGCGATGAACTGGAAGTTGATCTGTCAACACTATCGTTATCTTCAGGGCAGATGTTTTTATTTTAGTCGGCTTATAATTCCTTACTAAATGTAGTATTTAATTTCGATGTACTCCGTCTTTGATATGATTTAAATCAAATTCCTCGTCATTATAAATATCACGAATACAAATCACATAGTTTTTCTGGTTGCAATTTTCTAATTTCGGCTATGAGTAATGTATGCTTTACGCATCCGCGCGTTAAAAGAAATGTTTAATAAAGTAAACAAATAAATATTAGGCTTCTTTTTTGGTAAATTTGGATACCCTTTAGATCATAATTGCTCATTATTTTATAAATTACGGTTTCATATTTTTAGTTTTATAATTTCTGCATGCCATCTTACCAGATTTAAACTGATGATCTATAATCCGGAAAAATCGATAATCCGGAATCGCCGAAGTCCCGACGAGTCCGGATTAAAGACTTTTGACTGTATTACAGAATATCATATCCTGACTGCACATTAAAAAATGCAGTTCACTAACACTTATAAATAACATGGTACCATATTTTATTGACCACTACTGTATCTTTTATACAGTACTATATTTATATTTAGTACAGTACAAAGTCCGTAATCCGTACTCATCGGGACTTCGCCGATTCCGGATTAGGGGTTTTTCCGGATTATAGATCATCAATTTAAATCTGGTAAGATGGCATGGAGAAATTATACAATTAAAAATATGAAACCGTAATTTATGAAATAAAGAACAATTATGACCTAAAGGGTATCAAAATTTACACACACACACAAAAAAAAAAAGTGAAAGTCTGCAGTGAGAGGCAACAGTAATGGACTATTCATCAACGAGCATATCAATACAATTCCTTGCAATATGATCATTGACACAGGAGCTAATGTTACCATCATTCAGAAAAATTTAGCTCAACAATTTAAAAATAAACTCATTCGGACACCATGCTGCATTACCCTCCACACGTTAAACGTGAACATCAAGTTTGGAAGTGCCGTCTTCTATTACACGGCATATGTAGCAGATATCGCACATCCTTGCGTACTCAGATTGGACTTTTCAAGAAAATACAATTTTCCCTTGGACTTCAAAAACAACAGACTGCTATCAGCATCAGAGAACACCACTATCCATCATCAGAAAGAAACCTGGAAACACCGACGTCTTGTCTGAAAGACCCTGCTCTGAAAGCTAGGGTGGAAGAGAAACGCCCGACTACAAAAAAAGTGTTGCTTGCATACAGGTTTGTAAAAGATTGAATGCACAAGTCTGATGAAAAGTTAATCAAATTTATTCTTATCACAAGAAATAAAACAAAATGATGAAATTTTTCCTCACAGATATTTGTGCAATACAGTACAAAGTCCATAATCCGGACTCGTCGGGACTTTGGCGATTCCGGATTATAGATCATCAATTTAAATCTGGCAAGATGGCATGCAAAAATTATACAATTAAAAATATGAAACTGCAATTTATGAAATAAAGAGCAATTATGATCTAAAGGGTACCAAAATTTACAAAACAAAGCTTAATATTTATTTGTTTACTTTATTAAACATTTCTTTCAATGTAAGTTGCTTCGTTTTTTGTGCTAATACTTTCTCTTTAATTCTATAAACAAACATAATTTCTTGTTCAGTTACAAAGTTCCACTGTTCAAGTTCTGTAATTGCTGTGTCGAGAATACAGACTACCTTGTCAATCAAAATTTTTTCGTTTTCAATAACGTTCTCTATTACTTTCTTCACTGTCGGAGGCCGCGCATGGGTAAACGCTTTACTGGCTTTACACGCATGCATAATGGATGCGCCCATCAAACGAGCATGCGTAAGTTTGTGGCTTTGAGGTCCGAATTATAGATCATTCTGGATAATGGACATCCGGATTACAAACTTTGTACTGTATAGTATTTTATAGAGTATTATATATTTGTAAAAATAATTTTATCAATGCTAACCTCTTTAAAGATCTTCACTAACCTCTTTAAAGAAAACAGTCAAAAATCAAGATTTTAAAATATTAAATAATTCTTTTTGTATTCTTAAGGGTTTTATTCATTAAGATAAATATAAAAATCTGACTTTCAAAAAAGAGTTTTAAATTTCTTCTTGAAACAGGCAATATTTTAACTTAAGCAACCTTTCTGGTTTGCAATCCTTTGGTTTCTAACGTACATAACAAATGAAAAATATTCTCTCAAAGAATAACAATACAAAAAGAACATATTTTTTTAATAATTTAAAAACATAAGCACATCAAAGATTTATTCCAGACAGGAGGTCAACGATAGCTTTTTAGAGACAAGAGATAGGCTCATTTTCATTCTACAAATATCAATTCCTGTTTCTCACCAGTGGGAAAAAAATTATGTTCCGAACACCCGATTTAAAATATTATGCAAATTGTATTGAATTCAAATTGCACATTTTTCATGTTTAAACTGCAGCAGATATACAAAAAATTCTTTACAAACTAAAGACAGGTATTTGTAATTTCTTCCCAAAAATTAGCATCTTATACAGTGTCTCATAAAAATGATCAGGCACAGCAATATTTGGTACTACTTTATATATAAAATCACCAGTAATGGTTTAGCTGATGCCAAATGGAATATCTTCGCTGGTAACCTTTTACGCCTCATTTTCAAAACAATTTGCAGCCATTTCTTATCAGATTGATTGTTTCTTTCAATACTGGTACACAATTACATAGAATTTTTACCATATAATTCAATTTTATGCTATAAGGACTTCACAGTAATTAAATCAATTAGGATGCAATGATACGGCTCACCTGAAGGCGAAAATACAGAAAAGGAAAGGTCAAAGGTTAAATTCATCAATTCTAATGAGAATGCACTAGCGAAGTAAAGCACTGCGGTTTTACGTAACTTCTGAGTAAGCTATTCGTACAAATTGAAATCATTCTTGCATTTAAACTTGTATTCCAAATTAAGATTAAACTTGAAATTAATGTAGATAATTACTGAGAGATTTAAGATTTTTGTAGTGTAGCTTACGTGAGATGAGATTACTTGGGGTCACGTGATATGAACAGGCGAATCAGGATGTTAAACCATGAAAAGCATAGTAAATTCTTAAATTTATGTCTTTTTACAAATTTATTGTGTTTATTTATTGGCTTTTTTACAAAATTTTAAATGATACTAAAATGGAAAAAAAAAAAAAAAAAAAAAAAAAAAAATTCATAATAAAAAAATTCTTAGAAATAACAGTTGCTAACATTTTTTATGTGTAAACTGTATGTTGTTGCCAATAAAGTCTGCTTGGCTAGATTTGTGCCGGCACGGAAAAGTACCCAATATTTTTAATTTTTTAAATAATAAGAGAAAAGCTTTGCAGTAAACGAATAAAGAATATTTTTCCCCTTGAATACATATTTTCTTAGCTATCTCTTTGTACTGAATAAATTTGGAAAAACAAAATGGTAAATTTAAAAAATAGCGTTTTAGACTGAAATGGAAGAAAAAGATACCACAAAATTAATCAGACATTTTCATAATTTCTTATTAAAATCACTTGCAATGAATTTGTATGGAACAAATTTGTATGGAATTAAGTTTGGATAAAGAAGCTCGGCAAAACTCTAAAAATTGCTTGCTTTTATGATTCGAATTTTCTTTTTAGAAAATATTCGTTATTTTATTTGTTTTTTTTACAATGGCTCGATCACAAAAGGAAACATTGTTAGAAACCCACAGATTAGTTACTGATTTGCATCAAAATAGAAGGAAATCTATTAGAAAAATTGCCTATTTACTTAATTTAAGTGATTCTACAGTTTTTGGTATTAAGCATTATAAGATACAGAATAGCATTCAAAACAAAAGAAGACCTGGAAGAGCATTTAAGTTATCTCATGGAAATACTTTATTCTAAGGAATATTAAAAATAATCCAGGACTAAGTGCTCCTAAACTTGTTGCTGTACTTTGAGAATTATATGAAATATGAGTAAATCCAGAAACTGTAAGAAGAGTAATGTGATCTGCAAGGTATCATGGGCGAGTATCATCTAGAAAATTTTATGTCAGTAAAAAAACCCGAAAACGTTGCATCACTTTTGCAAAATCAATGAAACAAAGAACACCCGACTACTGGAAAAAAGTGTTGTTTGCTGATAACAGCAAATTTTACATCTTTGGCTAAGATGGATGAGTGTTGGTATGGAGAAAACCAAAAGAGGAGTTTGGGAAGCAAAACTTAGTATCAAGTGTTAAACATAGCGAAGGAGGAGCTATGGTACTGGGATCTAATGGCACATTCTGGTGTTGGTAATAGAGTTTGTAGATGGTATAATGGATCAGCATAAATACCTTCTTGAAGAGAAATTTGGCATTGTCATCACAAAAACTTAATATACAAAATAGTTTTAGGTTTTACCAGAACAATGATTCAAAGCATACTGTCCACAGTGTCAGACTCTGCCTGTTATATAAGTGTTCAGAAGTAATAAAGGCACCACCCCAATTATCAGATCTTAATCTTACTGAATATATCTGGCAGGAACTAGAAACGAAAATTCAAAAACAAAGCATATCTTCACAGCAGCAATGGAAAGCAGTGATTCAAGAGGAGTGGTATAAAATAAGTTCAGGGAAAAAAAAAAAAAAAAAATGTGGAGACAAAGCCCAAAAGATTAAATGAAGTGAACAAGTATATTTTTTCTCATTAAAAAAATGGCATTAATTTCTGAATTTAATTTTCATCTTTTTGAAAATGTATTTACTATAAAAATGCTGGATTTATATATAATTAAAATAAAAACCTTTCTTTTGTTTTAATTTACTTTGGTTTTTATGTTCATTAAATGATACAAAAAATCAAAGTGCCCAATCATTTTTGGGAGCCATAAATAAGAAACAAGTCGATATAAATTCCGTTTATAGAAACCTAAGTTATATACTATTATATTTTTACTCTTTTCCTCTCTAGAGAGACTAGACTTTTTTCTATGTTAAAATACATGACAGATATTTAATGTATTTTTTAATAAGATACACAGAATGTAAAACACCTTACAACAAAGTGCACAAATTACAAAAGAAAAGCCACATAAAATTCATGTGCAACAAATATTAGAAAACTGAATTTAATACATACCTTGACAAATTCATCGACATACTTTTGCATAGCTTCTTCTTTGGACATATTTCCTAGTTTATTCCATGCATCCCTTAGGAAGAATTAATAAATTAGAAGATAACAGAAAAATACAATAAAAAAAAATTTCACTGGATATTACGATCCAATTTGGCGCGTTTTAAAAAAATCGCCAAATCGGTTATTTTCGCGCGTTTTAGAAAATCGCTAACTCATCATATCGGCATATTATTAGATCGTTGCGAATTTGAATTAATTCTGTAAACATGCAAATAATGGGTAAAATGCAGAATCAATCACCCACTGCCTGACGCGTTTTTAAGAATTGCACATACTCGGTATCCATGTACACATCGACTTATTTTCACTTATAAAACTGCACAAAAATGGCATTACGCACTCCCTTGACTTTATCCATGTACACATCGACCTATTTTTCACTTAAAAAGTCAAAGGAAATTGACAAAAATTCTATTCATCTTATTCTTGTAAAAAGCGTCAAACAAATAAGTAGGCGATTCTGCACTTTACCCCCCTTCCCCCTCAAAATAGACGCGATTTCGCTCATTTGGCACCGACTGGACCGTAATCTCCAGTCTAGCCGTTTCATACTTTGTGCAAATAAAATTTTAGGAAAAGTTTGAAAATAAAAACAAAAAGTTAATTCAATATAATCAGTTTAAAAAATAATAATTTTATTAATTATTATTTGGAATTTTAGGACATGCACTCCCTAATTTCCATAAGTGCGGAATAAGGAAAAAATAGATGCATAACAAATGAAACTTAAATTGCAAAGCACAAAATTAAATATAAGGAATATTAGATGGATTGTAAAAATCTAAATATAGCACAAAGTTTGAAATCCATAGACCCAATATTTGGTATGATCTAATATCCAAACATCTACACCATTAGCAAAATAAAATGTACATATTTTTAAAATTTGATTTTAACGTAGTCCCAAAGGTCTCTTTTCCCACGATGTCAGCTATTCTCCTGGCAATGGACGCTCGAATTTACTTTCTATGTTGTCTGGCATTTAGACCGATATTTTTCGCTGTTCAAATTTGTTTCGTGGTAGTCTCGTAACATTCTCAATCGTTTTTCACGAGGCGAAAGCTTTCAATATTCGGTTAATCGACGTCGTGGCATTCTCTCATTTGAAAATTGATATGGACATCAAAAATGCTATAAAGCAAAAGTAATTCGGCGAAAACTTGAGGTCCGAGACTAAAAATCCTTTCGGACTAAAAATTTATATTACCCGCATTAATATAGTATTATTATTGATTCATTGATATATTATTATTGATTAAATATTATTATAGGAATAAAGAATATAATATTTACCAAGGACGGAAGTAGTCAACAACAGCCATGGTAACGAAAAAGCACGTGTGTAGTAAAACAATTTTTCTCTGGACTAGTTAAGAACCTACACCTGCTAAATAGGAAATCAAACTCTGGCCAATGACAATACGTTGACTGAAACTGTACTGACCTTGGCCACAAATATACTTTAAGCCCTTGAAAGAGTGTGGGGGTTAACATTTCTCGATCTGACCTAAACAATAAATGAAGCCCCATGACATATTTCTTAGGAGCGGAATGTTGCTCATACTGGTTTTCTTTTATTAGGAAGACAATATACAAGGAAGAAGAATTAGATTCCAAGAAACTTAAATTCTGCAAAATAAAACATTGCAAAGCAACCTTGCATTGCATTCTGCCAAAAACACTTAGATTCGCCAACAAAGGATGTTCATTACGTGATGTGCATCGCATTAGAGAGTAGCGTCTCCGTAGGCCGGTCCACACGACTACGCTCGAAACGTAGCTGACGAAATCGCTTTTACGTTACCAGCGAAAAAGCGTCCAAACGAGTACGCTTGCGAAGAGTGCGTTTAACCAACAGAATTATTTTGCGCAAAAATCACGTGGCGCTTTAATATAGCGTCAACGGGGCTGTATTTTGTTACTTCGCTGCGCTTCTATATGTTTGCGGCAAATTGCCCGAATCAAATGATTTTTTTGATAGCTGAAACTTTACTTCATTAAGCAGAGGCAAACCCCCCCCAAAAAAAAATTACGAGAACGGTTCCGAAAGATTTATTTAGAATGACCTGTTCAAAGAGATTTTTTTTTCTTTACTGCCTCGTTTGCGAAATTAATATCCGGAATTATTAAATTCCTACTATTAGCTCACACTCTCCGTATATCTTGTTCAAATTTTCAGTCGTTAATAAAATACTTTTTCTTCATCAAGTTCAAATACAATTTTTTAAACTTGTAGTAGATGACACTTGATGTTAATACAGCTTTTTCACATATTAATTTTTTTTTAATTTAAAAAAAATTGTTTGTATTTTTATTTATTTTTTTAATTTTTCTTTGTGGACCTAAGTAGGAATTGACTTTTTTTTTATATTACTTGTTTTTTAATTACTTCAGGATGAGTATCGCCCAGTTTGACAGACTTGCAGATTCTATATTTTACTAGCAGCTTCGCTGCCAGCCTTAGTCTGGCTTTTAAATGTACCGGAAAAATGGCTGAAGGGAACATAATTAAATCATCACATTAAAATCTGCGTAGAATTTTACTCTGCAGAACAACTTCATAAAAAAAGTTATTACGTATAACAAAATTACAATGAAATAAGCAATATCCCTTAAAACAAATATTAATTATCCTAATAAATACATTAACCAACTTCCCTTTGCAAAATCTTAAGAATTGAAATGGTATAAAGGAGGTTAAGAACTTTTGTTTCCTAAAAAATCACTCAAAACTTTTCAGTATCGTTTAAGACAGTGAAATGAGTAATAAATTAACATAAAAGAATACAAAAAACAAAAAACAAAATTCTGAAAAGCAAAGTATAATTAATGAGATTTTATCTTATATTTTCAAGAGAAAAAAATTACAATGAAATAAGCTATATGCCTTAATACAAATATTAATTATCCCTAATAAAAAAGAATTAACCAACTTTCCGTTGAAGAAACAAAGATCATGCAAAACTTTTCAATATGTAACAAACAGTGAAATAAACAAAAACTAACATGAAAGCAAATTCAAAAAACAAAACAATTCCGAGCAGAATTTTACTCTGCAGAACAACTTTATCAAAAAAAAAAAATATATATATATATATATATATATATAAATGACAATGAAATATGCCAATCTCTTAAAAAACAGTGACATAAGAAATACGATGAAAAATTGTTGCCAAACCCATATTTCTAAAAGAATAAAACTATTCAAAATGATGTGATTTCATCAAAAATCTATCAACAACAATACGACAGGAAAATTGTTGCCAAAATCACATTTGTGAAGATGTGAGAAGTGTACTCGGAAGCTTCATTTAAAAAATTCTTTAAAAATACAAAATATTATCATTTTTCCAAAATTCTTTTTGTAAAAGCAGTTGCAAGGATAAAAGTTTAATGTGTCCAAAAATCAAAGAAAAATAAAGTGTACATTTTTAAAAATAAACTTTTTTTAGAAAAATCCCGTTGAAAAGGTGTTTAGCTCACTTTGTTAAATAAATTCGTATTTACTCCATTTATTGAAACACGAAATTTATTTTAAGTTCGTAAAATAGCTAAGTGCCTACGTTTCATAACGATGTGAAAATGGAGAGTGTAGAGTAAAATCTCGCTTTCCTATAGCCCATTATGTCTCAAAATGATGCGATTTCGTCACAAAACATAAAATTTAAAAAAATCTAATTCGAATTTCGAAAAAATCGCTTCGAGGTGCACTGGCTCTTGTCTAGATGCACCTATGTACCAAATTTCGTAGTCGTGGGTCTATTAGCTTACGCGCAGCGCGAACAAAAGACACACACACACAGACAGACTTTCTTTTATTATATGTAGAGAAGATGAAAATTAGGATTTATAAAATTGGTTTGGAATACAGTTTAATTCTCTTTATATACACCATCCACCATATAATAAAACCAACTTCATATTTTTTTAACTCCCCCTCCCTTGGTCTCTTGTTTTTCTTTTTATTTATTTCTGAATTTACAATGAGGTTCAAACTTTGGACAGTTTATGAGAAATTATGTGCATGATAAAATATGCAATAAAGTAAAAATAGAGAATTTATAGATGAAACATGATAAAGAGATGCAAATATATTATTACATAAGGGTTTCTATTTGCAATGCACATTTTTAAACTAAGTAAAAAACAATAATGATAACGAATAAAATAAGATATGAAAACAATAATAATAATAATAGGTAAAATTAGAGTATAATGATTCATGATTAAATATTAAGAAACACGTTCAAAATGAGAAAAGCTAACTGAATTATATACTGTCTACGGGTGAGGCTCGAACTCACCACCTTTCCGTCTGCCAAGCGACGCGCTAACCACTCAGCTATCTGTGACAGCAGTGTTTGGCAAAAGAATGTAACAAGTAGAAGTCACTGCAACGGCAATTTAATTCAACTTCAATAAATGATTGCTGTATGACACAAGTTGTAACTTTCCTCCAAAATTTCGTAATTGTATTTTATTGAATACTCTTTCACAGTCAACTGCTTTATTTTAGAAGTTGTTATATTGCTGAAGTTAGTTTTTGGTGTATTTAATATTATAATATTTATAGAGCTTTTTATTACACATGATATAGCCAATATTTATAATAATTAAGGAGAATTTTGTGAGGCAGAAACTTTGATATCGTAGAAACTGTAATTTATTTAGGTTTCTATTACTTACGGTGCTATAAACAGGTGAAGCATATGGATATACTGGTCGGATCATTGCTTTATAAATATACAGTTTTCCCTTTAATGAAAATTTTAAATTATACCAATATATACGGTTTGAGAAATCTGAAGATGGCGTGAACAATGCTGATTATTTTATAGCTGTATACAGTTATGATATTTCTAAGCAAAAACTCATCTCTGTGTGGTTCTGACGCCATATTGAAACAGGTAAGCAAGAAGGTTTTCTGATTATGACACGTGATAAGAACTCGGTCGGCTATTGGCTAGAACAGGAGGGAACTCAGTTTTACGTCTTCTGCGTCACGCGAAT